ATGCAAAATTTTCCACCAGACAATGGTGATGGTTGGCTGACTGAACTTTGTACCACGTGAATGAAAAGGCAAGGGGTGGGGAGCCTAGGAAGGCTTGCTGTCTCTCTGCTCTGCCTCTGAAGACTACAGAGTCAATCTCAGAGCACCATGGATTCCCTAGAATGGCTGCCCTTCTTTGTTTTACCAATCTAGGGCCAGTGACATTGTTTGTCAAGTGACAGGGCTAGAAACCTTCATGGTCTTTGGGGTCTTCCAGGCCAATGAATGTTAGTGACCATACTCAGCATCTCTGCCTTTGCTGGATTGAATTTCTAGAACCATACTGTTACCTCTCCTACTTCCATGCCCAACAAAACTTGACTAGATGAAACCCACCTGGAGTCCCCTAGCCCTGACACCTAAGCCTCTAAGAAATTCACCCTTTTCTCAAGGAATCTACCTATGACCTCTTTAGGGTCTATCAATGAGGAAGTAATATTTCTGACAGAATCTATTTGATTCCCATAGATGGAGTCTGTTTTAAAAAAAAATGAGAAGCGCAATTTTATTACTTGCCTTTATTAAAATCTGTAAAGGAATCCATGATGCCCCGGGCTGAGAAGGAAGAAAACCTGTAAGCAGTGAGTGCTACACTGATCTGGTCTAATTGAATTGTCAGCCCTCGGGGCACTGGACAGTTACAAGAACAGACTGGTGAAGAGCTGGTTGGATGTAGGATGCATAAACCTAATGTGGAAACAACAGGGAAGACTATACAGTACCTAGTAACTGGCTATACCATGAATTTCACAGGTTTCCTTCCTAAGGGACAGAGGATAGGTAGTGACACATTTTGATGATTCAAGATCTAAAAAAGAAAGGCTTTTTTTTTTTTTGAGTGGGGGTGCTCAAATTTTGAAGAGCAACCAATAGTTGAGAATAGTATTTCAAGAAGGCAAAACCATGCCTCCTGAAATAAATGAAGGATGCCAGATAAAGGGATCTGAAGATGACTGGAGGGGAAGAAATGCCTAAGTTAATGCACCACCCCCACCTTCACTTAATCCTAGCAAGAAAAACAAGGGTCAAATTTCACAAAGCACCAATTCAAGGATAAAACATGCAAGAGCAAGCTTGTTTTAAGTAAGAAAATAAACAACAGCACTGGTTTGTTGCTGTTTCTTTTCAGGCAGCTAGGAACAGTGGAAGAAAAAGATACAGAAAATCATCCCAGATGATTCATGACACAGATAAAAAAGAAAAATCTCTCTTACATTTGTTTTTAAAAGCCACTGATGTCCATAAAGTGGGTATAGTGGATGGACAATTCTCTGAAGTACAGCTTTAAGTGATAAAAGCTAAAGAAGAGAAAAAAAAAAAAATCAAACCAACAAAGTGGATAGAGTGGGAAGGGGGTTTGCAACAACACCCAAAACTCCTAAGTACAAAACAGTAAGAAATCAAGCAAGGCAGGCAGTTGTGACTCAAGCCTTTAATCCCAGCATTTGGGAGACAGAGGCAGGTAGGCCTCAGTGAGTTCTCAGCCAGCCTGGTCTACAAAACCAATTCCAGGACAACCAGGGCTACACAGAGAACCTCTGCCTCAAAAAACAAAAATAAAAAAGTCGCTTTTCACCCCATCTGGCATCCAGGAAAACAGACCAAATGTGGTAAATCACCTTTTACCCATACAGAAATGCCTCTCAATATTCCACATGCATAGAGCTTGACTTCGTATCCATGCAGCAAATGGATGTTCAACATTGATGCCCACCCATCTTGCTTAAGATGTTTAGAATGAACAGGATTGCTGATGAGCCAATTCAGACCTCTTGAGCACATATATCTACTATTCAGTAACATATTCATGCCCCAAAGGGTAACAGGATCATACATCTGCTAAGCATGCCTGCCTAGGACTCCCTTCTTTGAAAAATACAAAAATGATCAGTGGTCCTTGATTGCAGGGAGCTCAAAGAAGTAATCACACACACACACACACACACACACACTTAATGTACTTAAAAAGTACATTAAAATGAAATAAAAAGACAAAAGAGGAATGTCCTCTGCCAGGAGCATTCAGCTGCTGGGAGCAATGGGAGGACACTAAAAACCTCACAGAGGTCTCTCTTGGTGTTAGGATATTGATGATTTCCAACATGTTAAAAAAGGGGGGGGATGGAATCCTTTATTTGCACAACAGCAATACAAATAATTGCACCTGTAGTGTCTGTTAAGAGTCAGGTCCCATGCTGTCTTAAACCCACCTCAAACCAAGCAGGTAGCTAGTGTCACCCAATCTTGCAAATGGGGGATAGAAAGGTGGGATAGTCTACAACAGACTTGAATCTCCAATCTTTTTCAATTCTGGGTCCTTCAAGCTCCCAAGGAGAATAGCAAGGCTAAGATCCACAGTGTTAGGCATGAGGAAACAGGACGATAAAGGGTAAGGGGCAGAGAGAGACCATGGATGCTAGGTTAAACTATTTAGGCTTTATACAGTAGCAAAGAGAAGCCACTATGCACTCTTACAAGGAACATCACATTAATAAGTGTATCTTAGGCCTCGGGCTATGGTCAATGAATTATATCTTACAGAAGAGACTTTTAATAGTTGGGAGGCGTCTTACCCTGCCTTTGTTTACACACCCACAATCATGCCTGTGTAGAGCTACTAACTGTCCAGGTGATTCCCCAACATGCCAGACTTCTGAGAAGATTAATACACAGTACTAAAGGGGAGTACCTGTGACTGCAGGGAACAAGGACCTGCTGACCCCAGAGCTGTCCAAATATGGCTTCAGTGTAATCTCTGCTAGTGCATCTTTCGACAGAGCTCAGAATCTCCTAAGGACTGTGGGCACAGCACAGACTGGAGTCCAGTAGCTTCCAGCCCACTCTAGGTTCTGGGCTTACTTCACTAAGCCATGCTAAACTTCACTACTACTGGGTGACAAGGAGCAAGTACCTTTTCCTTTCTGAACATCCCAATCTTCATCTCTCAAAAGAGAAATTTGAGTGCAAGGAGCCAGAGTTTACAATTCTTGACTCTCCTTACTGCCCAACTCATGAGCATTGGGGAGCTGTTGCCATAGCAGCTCACTGTCCAGAATATAGGAGGGAATTACCCCTGAGAGCCAGTGCGATGTGTTTATCTTCTAGCTGAGAATGGTTATGTTACTTTAACTCCGAGACATCTTCTGCTGCTTAGTTATAGCTGACCTAGGAGTAGACTTCTAAGTACAGTGTCATAGTCAACAGAAGTAATTCAGTTATGTGTGGCTTTCTGACTGCAGTTAATTCAATTATACCAAGACACTATGAACATATCCAAGTACACAGGAGCTGGTCACCCTGCCAGTGAGTGAACATCCTACAGTCCAAATCTCTCACACTGCCCAAGAATGGCCTTTTACTATTTTGGATGTTTTAGTCTATATGATGGTATTGTGCTGGTGTGTGTGTTGTGGGGGGGGGGGTGGAGGTATGGAGGTGGGAGAGGTTCCCTGTGAAGCAAAGGCAAGGCTTCCCCCTAGAGTTTCCATGGAGCACAGTAGAAAAGAACCATAATGTATCCTTTACGTCTTAACAAGCAAATTTCCAAAACAGCAAACATATTTCCTTATTCAGAAATTGTCAACTATATGAATCAACATCTCCATAAAAGTCTGAAGGCTGTTGAGCCTGGAGCTTCATCTTCTTTGACCTCCAGGCAGGGAACAGGGCAAAGGGATGAGAAATAAGAACCACAGCAACCCATATACTGATTGCATGGTATTTATTTTCCAAGGACCCAATGTGAGTATGCATCCTTCTCTTTTCCTTTTCTCCCTGCTAAGGGAAACGCTGTCTGCCATGCAGGTACTACAGAACCACTTGAGACAACCCCCTTCAGGGAGACCCACACATAGGGAGTCACACTACAGGACTGTCAATACTCTGCTCTGGCAACCAGATTGGGATGTTTTGCTATTGGCTCTCAAGGGGCCCTTCCAGAACTGACTGATATCTGCAAGGACAAGAAAAATTGTGCCACTCTCTTTTTAAAAAAGCAAGGGTATGCTTAATGCATGTCTTAGCAAATCCATTCGAAAGCACAGGAGGACCAACAATTCATACGTCCTGGACAGGACTCTGGCCTCCTCATTCATTGATCCAGCCTTGTCAACTCCTGAAATTCATCCCTTCCCACACTGGAGCTCTGAGAATAGGTCTCTCTCTGTTGTGACTTTATTAACTCCTCCCACCACTGTGGAAAAGACCTGGATATATCCACCCAGAAAGCCAGAAGGTAGGACGAACTGGAGAAACATGAGTGCATGCGTGCGTGTGTGTGTGCCGCATGCGCGCGCTCATGGGAGAGAGAGGCTGGGGAATTATTGTCTGCTATATGTCCAGTTATGTCTTTTAAATTGTGGGTGTGGGAAATATGCCAGTTACATCGCATACCTCTTGACAACAACTTCGGGGGGTTTAAACAAATGCAAAGAAAACCATAGAGCTCCAGGTGAAGCAGCCCAGGACAATAGGAACCCCCAGTAATCCACAAAAGTCCAATTTTCAATGAGATTGCCTCACACAGCCTCAAGAATACTTCCTCTACCTTTTCTCTTTGCTCTTCCATCGTTGAAAAAAAAAAAAAAAACTTCGTTTAAGACCATGTTTTCTTTTAGCTTGAGAAAACATTGTTAAGCTTAGAAGGTTCGGAGTGCAGAGCAGGAGGGGATGGCCAGAAGAAAGGGAAATCAGGATTAGGCTATGTCAAGAATTTTACTCTATCATCTAGGTAGACCACAGGTACGTGAGTGTAGTAGGACACTTTTGATACAGGGTTATCGGCTGCCCAGCCCACTTTTGCTTTGTGAAACTAATGCTGAGAGCCCGAGTCCATCTAGTCCCTGGGCGTCTACTTTCACGCACAGGACACCACAGTAAAAGGCTGGCTGGCGGACACAGCAATGCCCTGAGCCAGCCCTAGGAAAGGGTGCTAGAGCTTTGGGCGCAGACACGCTCAGTACCTTTATGTAGGCCCGCTGCAGGTAGTTGTAGGGCACTCTGCGCTGGAAGTCGCTGCGCACGTCCTCGCTGACGCGGTGGCGGGACGCGGGGCCGCCCAAGCGCTGGCTCTGGCAGCTGCGGGAGCAGCTCGCCCGCGCGAGCAGCGCTCGGAAGAAGGGCAGCTCGGCTCCGGGGCCGGAGCCGGGGTGTGCGAGCGGGCGGCGCGCGGCGCAGTGGCGGGCGCAGCGCGTGCGGATGTCTAGCAGGCGTCGGTGGCTGAGCAGCGCGGCTTCCAGATCACGCACCGCACTCTCGTAGTCGCCGCTGTAGTAGGCAGCCACTCCGCTGGCGTAGAGCAGGTCGAAGGGCTGCAGCCGGCCGTGCTCTGCCTCCGGCTCCGGCTCCCGGCTGCCGTCCTGGGGGCCGCCCCACTGTGGCTCGGGCAGCAGCAACAGCAGCAGCAGCGACACCCACGTGCTCTCCCGCATCCTCCGCCAGACCCGCGGGGGAACCGCCGCGCTCCGTGCCTGCCCTCGCCGCACCTCGCGTCCGAACCCCGCTCCGGCTCCCCCGGGCTAGCACGCCCTTCCCGCTGCGATCCGCTGCCCTGCCGGACAGCCCCAGGTGACCGCCGGCGCGCTGCGGTTCTAGAGGCGGAGGCTAGTCCGTCTGGCCGCTCTTAAAGGGCCGCCTCCAACTCACACGCTCCTCCTGCCGCCCGCCGAGCCTCTGCGAGCCGCGCTCCAGCACTCTCAGAGCTAACACCGCGAGAGGCAGACCAAGGGGACAAGTGTAGCCGTACCCTCTTGGCCTGGCACCACAGTGATAGCTACTAGCACTGACTACCCGCTGAGTGGCAACTAGCTCCTAAGAGCTAGCGCCTAGCCTAATTCATCCTTTGACTGACCAGAAACCTTTTGTGCCCCTATGTGAATTGGTTTGGGAATTTCCCAAGAAGACAAAGGCCTATGCAAAACTTGGTTCAGGAACTCTGGAAAACTGTGGTACCTATGACTTGAGTCTTTGCACATGGCATTGTCTTTTTGGAAGCCTCATTCAAGTCGCTCTGAGCATACGGTAATCAACTCGCTAAAGTGTAAATATAGAGAAAAAGAAAAATGCCCTGGGCATAAGGAAGGTACTAGAAGCTGAGGCCCCCTGCAGCCACAAGGGTTGAGTTTTCTTTTGACAGACACATGAACCCACACCTGCACCAAGAGGCTCATAGTCGTTTCTGAAGCCACGCTCCTTGCAGTTCTTCACCCTTAGATGCAACATGAAGGTCCATCCCAGCCTGTGTGGAAAGCACTGGAGAGAGGGAGTGGCTCCGGAGCTTTGTGGAGAAAAGTGGTTTGCCTAGTTTACACAGCTAAGAACAAGCAAAGGTCGGACCTAACTCTGGGCCACAGGAAGAGAAGTTTCCCGCCCTCTCTCTTGACGTCTCCTTTGGCAGTGTGTGGATGTGATCCCGCACTGCATGTGGACAGTATGCTAAGAGGACGATAAATAACCCGAGTTTCCTGTTCAGACCCCTGGAGGAAGGTGAAGCTGTACTTCGCATTTGCCTCTGGCAGCTTTCCATGTGTGTGACTTTGTGCAACTGAGCCTCGGTTACCTCTTCCAAAGCAACCAGATTCCCAACATGTCCAGTGATGTTTGGACATAAATCCCTATTGTGAGAGTTAAACAAAGAGGCAGTTTAACAAACCCGGTACCCTGGGACTTAAGCAGTGAACATCAATCTAGAAATGGGAAAGCTGACAGAAACAGCTGCCAGAGTCCAAGGAGGCTTTCCTGTTCCTCCCCTTCAGCTGGTCATAAATACCTTCATGGCCAAGGTGTTCTCTTTTCTGCTCCTTGGCTGCACACTCTGAGAGGGGGGAAGGAGTAGACTCCAGAGTCCAGCCTGCAACTCCCTGGGAGGAATTCTGCTTGTCCAGGATTGTCTGTTGAAATCTCATCGTAGTCTCTGGAGGGATGAGCAGTGGGAAAGAACCACATACATTGTGCAGCCTATCTGATTTTCTCAGTAATGTTTTGTAAGAAATGGTCTCTCTGCAAGGAGGTGGCCAGAGTGTCATGTCATTTCCTTGTTCTTCTTGGTGGGTTTTGCCCACTTTGGTCATGAACAGTCCTGGCTATATAACTCCAAGGAAAACTGGTTCGTGTACATATTATTTTTTCATCAAATTCTCTAATATTTCTAAGTTGTCTCTTTCCACTGATGGCAAAGCTTCAGTGTGAGGCTTGCCTTGGATGGTCAGAGCTCCAGATGTAGTAAAGATTTCTCTCCTAGTGACAAACTATTCAGATAAAGACGCTAGGGTCTAAAGTTTATCAACCCACTTGGAGAAGGGTTTGAAGCACATAATCAGAAATAGTGTGTTTGGGATACAGACCAAATGCCAAGATGCGTTTGCATATCTCAGCTCTACATAAGAGATATTTCTATATCATTGAGTAAGTGTCACTAAATTAATATCTGTAGAAGCCTACCCCTGGAGTATTGTATGGGGGAAGGAAGAGATGGTTCCATCTGAATTCTTATTACTGGGAGTTTAGAGTGGTATGCAGATATGAACACAAAATATAGAACTTAGTATGATCCACATTCTTTAATACAAAATGATAAGAATGTGGACCATACTAAGTTGAATTCGGCATGCTCTAGTAACACAGGAGCTGAACCTTCTGGCAAAACAGAGCTAAGAGATCTTGGGAGAAATGACACTGGAGGAAATCAAAAGCCTTCAGTCAGTAGCCCACAAACAAATTTCTGGCTCCCAGCTGGTAGAGCTCTTTTAAGACTTCTGGGTCATACCTGTGCACAACCACAACTTAACAATAGATAATCCCTTAGGCTTTTCTGAACACTGCAATAACCTAATGGACTTAAATATTTCTATTTGGTCCCAGCTCTGAGGGACTCTATTGAATTGGTATGGTGGACCGTACCTAACCTATGATGTATGAGCTAACCAATGGGACTTTCCTAAGTCTCTCTGATGTTTCTATTCTGAAACCAAGGTTGGGGATACTACCTTTGAAGGTGCCTCAAGAGGAGGAGTAAGGCAGTTAGGTGGGGTTCCATGTGGTATTGTCATATTCGTGAGTCCCTGGAATAATGTGATTTTGTGTTATCTTGGTGATATGCTTCCCTAATAAGCGCGATATGACTCACCTTTAAAGTTGAATTATAAGTTTTGGAGCCCACTTCATGGTTCCTGGTTTATGAGATCTGTGACAGGACCCTGATTTTGCTTTTTCATCAATTTCTTTGCTGATTCTGGAACTCTTAAAGCAGAATCCCGTGCTTTGTTATCTAATTTCTCATAAAGACCCATTCTTGAGCTTTATGTTATTATCAAAGACTAAATTAACAACAACAACAACAACAACATCTGCAATGACCAGGCCTGGCCCTTCTTTGTACTCATGTCTAAGGGGCTTTGATACAGGAATTCTCAGCCAGGAATGATGTCCCACCCAGGTACAATTGATAGTGGAGATAGTCTCCATTGTCAACTCAGTGGTGTGGGAAGAAATATCGTACAATTGCTGCCTACAATTGTGTAGAAGCAAAGGATGGTGCTGAATGTCTTATAAGGTACAGGACAAGTGCCTTAAGAAAGAAGTGCAACACCTAAACTTCAGGAACCTTGGGACAGTAATTTAGCACTGCAGACTTTGTCCAGTTGCCATATACAAATGATGAAGTTAAGATTCACGGTCACAACACAGAGACAGTCATGGCAGGAAGAAGATGCTTAATTGCACATAGAACACTGGGTGATGTACTTTTATGAGCTGCTTCTTTTTGAAGGTGAAAGAAAAAAAATGCATGAAAGAAGAGAAGAGAGAAGGCAGGAAAGAGAGAGAGAGAAAATGAGAGAGACACTATGGTTTGAGAGAAGAGCTACTGGAAACACAAACTGCTGACATTTCTGCCGAGACAGGTAACAAATGAGAGTCTGAAACTGCATCCCCATTCCTTTCAATGTCAAAGAACAGCCAAAGCACAAGAGTGCTCATCCAGAGCCCTGAAGAGACATCCAGTCGTCTCCCTTTTTATTATATTTGGAATGGGTCTTGACAGAAGCTCCAGTTCCCTTTGACTTCTGTTTATAAGTCATCAACAGCTCAAGTGCACTTGCAGCAGGGTTTCATCAGAAGAAAGGAATTCTGGATAGAGAAATTCTTCAGACACTTCTTAGGCTCTCCAAATCAGCTTAGATTTTTGAGCTGACCTCCCTCCTTATAAAACCTTTCTGGAGGAACAAACAGTGTATTCAGACTGCATCGGGAGATTTAATCAGTGCATTCCCTAAGCAAATGTGATACTGGTTTATTTTGATGGTGTTTAACCAGCCAGGGCTTTTGCTTGCCCCAAACATCTCATGCCTTTGAAATGAAAGGAATAATTCTCACTGTGCAACAACTCAGCCCGTGTTCAGCTGCTGTTGATGCTGGCGACAAGGGAGTTGTTTGGAAGACTGTTTTTTTTTTTTTTTCTTACACAAATAGGATCATCTGAAGTTCTTTTTGCTTCCAACCAAGTTGGTGTGAAAGGACAGTCAACAGTCTGTCAACATAAGTGAGTAGAAAAAGGACTCCTAGAGGAGGAAGAGAACTTTTTTTTTAGAAAAAAATTAATATTTAGCCTACATTTAAAATCAAACAGTCCTGCCATGTTCCAAGACTGTGTGTTTCTTTCCAGTTTTCTTAGTGGCTCCATCTCCACACTTAACCTTCCTTCTCGATGGAGCTTTAAACTTCCAAGTGAAACAAACCATGGATACACCCAGCCTCTGTGTTCATGTCAGGGAGACAGCCTAACTTCTTTCCTTGGGAGCATCCAGATTTTGTTAAACAACAAAAATGGAGGAGTATAAATAAACAAAGCTAACTATTCCTAAGAAATGTAAGAGGCTAAAAAGCAGGATTCACTTGGCAATGCAGTATGACTATATGCCAGGCTGTTTTGTCACACGTACTGTCACTTTAAAGAGTCTCTTTGAGTAAAGCACTATTACCATAAATTTCCATGGGTTTTTTTGTTTGTTTGTTTTTGTTTTTGTTCTTGTTTGCTAGTTTGCACAAGCTAGAGTTACCTGGGAGGAGAACTTAAACTAAAAACTTACCTTGGCCTACAGGCATATCTGTAGGGCATTTTACTAATTAACCATTGATGTGGGAGAGTCCAGACAACCATGGCTAGTGCCATAGGTAGTCCTGGGTTGTATAAGAAAGCAAACTGAGAAAGGCATGGTTCTGTTTTAGTTTGGTGGATAACCAAGAATAATGACAATGATAAAATTAAACCAGTACAAACCTTTATATGTGAGTGTTAGAACCCAGAGAAAGTGCAGAAATCAAGAAAGCATAAAAGGACAGAGCAAGGCAGCTCTAGAGAAGGAGATTGGGGAAAAAGGAAATGGAGAAAGGGGAGAGGAACTTTAAGTGGGGAAGAAAAGGGGAGGAAAATACAGAGGGAGAGAAAGGGGAAGGAAAAGACAAGCAACCTTGATAGAGACATCTCTGTCCCAAATGCCTGGGTTTCAGCTGCTGCCATAGCCTAAGTGTAGCCTACCGTGCTTTTCCAACCTTATCAGAATCATCCCTCATGCACTGCCCTGCCTGATTGTGGCAGGGATCCTGGCTG